GAACTTCCCACCTCGAAGTCTTTTTTACAACACCTGCCATTTATAAGAGGGTGGTCCTTCCCCCCCAGTCCTCCCCCAGCCCGGAGGGGGGTTAAAACCACACGCATCTTAAAGTTGCCAAGGTTGAGAAACACTGCTATGGAGTCAGCACTTCAATTCCCACAAGCTCTGATTCAGCGCAACCTCGGAAATCAACCTTAAGAACCAACATCTGATATCCTTCACTTGTATTCCGAAGAAGGGAAGAAGACCAGGGTAATAGAAAAAAATCCGTTGTAACTCCTGGTTCGATCTGAATAGTGTTGTTTCAGGACCAGTCCTTATAAAGCCAGGCCAGGCCGTTAGCCACACGCTCCCATCTCGTTTACCCTCCCGACCCACCGTCTTTCCTTCTTCAAGGTCCTGTTTGTGCTGGAGTGGTCGGCTTGAAGATGCCTCGTTATTGTCTCTTTGGAGACACAGTGAACACGGCTTCGCGCATGGAATCCAACGGCGAAGGTAAATTGTTTGGGAGAAGGAGACAGAAGGTGGGGAAGGGAGGTTCAGACATTCCCCACCAGCGGGATGCTTGAAGGAGAGGGTTGAATGACCAGGAACGACTGGCCAAGGAGAAGACTATGATGCTATTTGGTTGGGGACAATTTCCACTAAGGCTGTTGCTGTAAGGCACCCCTACGAGGGCCGTGTGAAGCAAGGACATCTTGAAAAGTACAAATCAAGGGCAGATCCTTCAGGGTTGCATCCATGCAGCAAAGCGATGGTCCTCCAGGAGTTTTTGAACTTCCCAGGCTCGCTTACAAGCCCTGGGATGTCCTCCTAGTCTCCATCCTAGCTTCCTTTCTCCAGTTCAGCCGTTCTAATGCACATCTCTGGTCATTCCAGCGTTGAAGATCCACTTGTCGGCGGCCACCAAGTCCATCCTTGAAGAGTTTGGGTGCTTCGAACTCGACCTCCGAGGAGACATAGAGATGAAGGTGAGGAGGAGGTGGGCTGGGTTGCAGGTCCAGGCTCTGTGTTTTTCGTGGTTTCCTGGGCCGCTTGGGGGGGGACCTTCTGCCTGGTGCTCCGAAAGACCTTCTGTCCTCCACCTCTTTCCATCTCGCAGGGCAAGGGGAAGCTCCGGACATACTGGCTGACGGGGGAACGGGTCAGCAGCACCCGAGGGTGATGAAAGATGCAGAAGAGGCTTAATCCTGCTTCCTTCAAGGAGGCACCCAAGACTGTTTTCGGGGGACCTATTGGCTTGGAGTTGAGGGCATTATGGATGGACCCCGGAGGACTATACTTGCTCCCCTGCCCAATTTCCTTTCGCTTGTGCACCGCCCCGCAAATCTAGCCTTGAGTTCCAAAGGTTGGGTGACCTGCAGGTGACCAGGAGGTGATCTGCCTTCTTCTCTGCCTGCATCATGGAAAGTCGCGGAGAAGTCGGCTCGGGCTCCCGCGCTTCTACGGGCCACCTCCTTTCCTTTCCGGACGTCTGGAACTTCTGTTGTCGAGTCCGCGTTACGACTAGGGAGGCAGGGACCCTGCGCAGTCCTTGTGACGGTGGATCTGTATGCGCACACCATGCGGGTTCCTGGAACTGCGGATCTTACAATAAAAGGAATGTATGTGTCGACCCCTTTGTTTGGCTGGTGTGAAGCTCAATGTGATGCAGAAGGTTTGGAAGGGCCCCGCCCGTTTGGGTTTTGCGGCTGCGTGGCAGTCTGCACGTGCTCCAAAAAACAATCTTTTTGCACGATTGAGCGTTGAATCAGATGGGCTACAATCGTCCGAGAGAAACAGTGGCAGGGGGTAGATTCCAGGAATGGGAAAGAAACATGGATCGCCCTTCCTTTTCCAATCTTCATAGCTTTGTATTTGCATCGTAACTTCATCCCTCTGTCCATCCTCTGTCTCTCTGTCCATCCCTCCCTCCCTCCTTTTTCACGGAGATCACTCTGCCTTCCCCGATTCCTAAAGATCACTCACCGTTGAGACACGTCCACCTTTTCAGCTGATCCAAAGCGGTGGCTTTTGTTAATGATTTCTCCGCCTTCAGCTGACTCGCCACCTATCCGGAATGGCACTCTCCCAAGTCAGCCGTTTCACACCTGTTGTGGCTGTGAGCGTAAAGTGTGCAAATCCTGTTGTGATTCGAGGACTTCAGATGCGCGGTCAGTAGCCAGCGTGCAGGAAGAAAACGGCATTTGCTTCTTAAACGACTCCCCAGTGTTCTGCTTTGAAAAAAAAGAGCGGACGCTGTTATGTATCCGAGGAAAAAGGATAATTAACTGATTGGTTTTCATTTCCTCCGGGCTGATCGCAATTGTATTACTTAGCCGTTCACAGCAATATGTTTCCCTCGCATGTGGAAATAATCCTCCGTACTTTTGGACCATTGCAAATCATGCTTAAAAGGAAAAAAAAGAAGCTTGCATAGATATTTGTGGACTGCCTTGAGTTTTCGTTTTTAAGCGACAGAGATTTCAGGAACTTTGAATAATTGCCTTCTGCCATATTCTCTGAAGGCAAAGCTAGAATAGTTTTATTAGCCGTCAAATTGCCACAAGATAGTTTGGTTTGGCTGCAATAGAATAACATGGTTAGCTATTCTGGAAATATTTTGAAACCATTTGTTTTTAAGGAGTTGGCCCTGTCATATGTTTTTCACCCAAACATCCTGTTGGATTTTGATGGGTTTCGTTTCTCCGTAAGAATGATGATTTCTAGGTTTCTCTTTCTTTTTTTTAATCATTTCCTAAACATTTGAAACATAAATCTTACCTCTTCGGGAACAGTGTCCGGCTCAGAGTATCCAAACTGCCAGAGATAAAACACAAAACAAAGAAAGAAAGAAAGAAAAAAGCAGATTAAAAGCTAACAAAAGAATAAGTTAACAACAATAATGCCCATAAATCTCGGCGGGATCAAATACGATTCCACCACTTTGCATAAATATACACACACGTGCACACTAAGCCCCATCAATCTGGGCATTTTTCTATTTCAATAATTTAAACAGAAGTGTTAAGCTGCCCCTCTTATTCACAGTTAATTACAGCTCAGCTGCGGGGGATTTTATTGCGGAATAACTGCGCCTTAAGGCGGCTGTCCTCAAAGGACGGGACGGCGCATGCGTCGGGGCGCCAGCTGGGGAGGAGGCCGTTGAGGCGGTCCCGAGAGCGCGAGCGAGCCAGCCTGGTGCCCAAAGCGCATGCGCGAGGGAGAAGGGGCGGGAGAGGGAGGCAGGTTGGTTTTTTCCCCCGTAGACTTACGAAACGTGAAGATAAGCCTCGTGCTCGCTCGTAGCCCGGCTGGCGGGTTCGTTTTGTCATTATTATTATTACTCTTACTATTATTATTACCACAATTTGCAGTGTCTTTCGCTCTTGAGACTGCCTCTCGGGCTGCAGTGATATTTTCGTTGAATACTAGGACATATTAAAATAGAGCTGATATGGGAGTAGGACTATGGGGCACGTGCCCAGGCCCCCCAGGCAGTAGGTTGCCCCCCCAGGGAGGCCTCCTTGGATCACCCCATGGGCTGTAAGGATTAAATCCTGATTCTAAAATGCGTCGCGTGGCGCGCGAGTCCCACGGGAACAAAATTGACCCGGAAGTGAATTTCCCGTCAAGGAGGGTTGCTCCTCTCATCTTTTTGCTAAGTCTACGTCCGCCGCCGGGTGGAATTCCAGCCTCCTTCCCCTTTTCCCCGCCCCACCTCCTCTTCATTGGCCCGCCGGGAACGGGGCCGTCACTCACCGCCGTCCTCGGGCTGTGATAGGTCCGAAGAGGGAGCGGAGGCGGGCGCGTCGGAGAGGCGGGCGCTTCCGGCGGGGCTGCTTCCTTCGCCCGCTCCCTCACGCACTCGCTCGTCCCCAAGCTCTGACTTCCGGTCTTGTGCTGCTGGGTGGGGGGCGAGGCGGCGCACACCCCCCCTCCCTCCCCCCACAGGCGTAGAGCCCCCCCCTTCTTTTCTATACACCCCGCTTTAATTTCTCCCGAAAAAGGGCGGCGAAGAGAGCAACGCCTCCCCAGAGA